AAACACAATGAGAATATTTTGTTACAAATAAATGTCCTGCATTAAAAAAAAATAATAAAATGAAAGTAAGTAATAGCATCAAATTATGCTTAAACTATTAAAAGTAAATGTACCGATTATGCAGAATGGCCCATTTCAGTCAATATATATTTTATTTGTATTGTAATTATGAATGCATGAATGGTCATCACTTTAATGTTGCAGCTGTAAAATTGTTGCTAGTTTGAATTAATTTAGAAACTGCTGGGTAGCTTAATCTATAGTAAACTCATCTTAATGTATTAGTTGTTTTGTTTTATATTAATGATCTGGAGCTGTAGACTAAGTCGCACCTAAAGTTGTCAAAATAAATGAAAAAAGTACATTCTGAGACATAGTGGAGTAAAAGCATGAAGTAGTATAAAATGAAAAGTAAAGTACAAATACCTGAAATGTGTACAGTAAATGTATTAAGTTACATTCTACTAGTATTTACAATCAAAGTATCTTTGATGGAGATACATCACCGAGTATCTTTACTTGCATTGTTTACCAGATGTCTGACAGCAGCTTGTCATTCTGCGTTTCTCCAAAGGATCCTTAGCTATACCCCGGACATGGCGACGTCTCTGGTTGACGACGCCTTTGCCAGAGCCTTCAAGGTGTGGAGTGATGTTACCCCTCTGACTTTTAACCGCCTCTTTGATGGGACAGCTGACATCATGATTTCATTTGGAAAAATCGGTATGTGTTTATGCGCCGGCCTTTTAATGGCATTTACTTTACTAAAGACAATTCTATAATCAAATACTGATGTAAAATGTATTATTCCACTCAGACCACGGAGACCCTTACCCATTTGATGGTAAGGATGGACTTCTGGCCCACGCTTACCCCCCTGGTGAGGGTGTGCAGGGTGACGCCCACTTTGACGATGATGAGTACTGGACCCTGGGAGAAGGACCAGGTAATCAGAAATACCAACAGATATTCCTCTACCCCCAACATTTATTATGAAGATGTCTCCCCCCAGTGTTCACATTGCTTAAATGTATTGTTTTCTGTCACTTAAGCTGTGAAGACTCTCTATGGGAATGCTGATGGTGCCATGTGCCACTTCCCTTTCACTTTCGAGGGCAAATCCTACACAACATGTACCTCTGATGGGCGTTCGGACGACCTGCCATGGTGCTCCACCACAGCCGACTACGGCAGAGACAATAAATTTGGCTTCTGCCCAAGTGAACGTAAGATTGACAGTTTATTCTGCAATGAAAGTGATAGGGCAGAGGTCAACCAGATATAAGGAGTTTCTTTAGTGTCATGCTGATGCGCTTCATCCCACTTACTTTTATTTTCATCCCGACAGTCCTTTACACATTTGGAGGAAACGCAGACGGAGAAAAGTGTGTCTTCCCCTTTGTCTTTCTGGACAAAGAATATGACAGCTGTACCACAGAGGGCCGCGATGATGGCTATCGCTGGTGTGCCACCACAAGCAACTTTGACACTGACGTGAAATATGGGTTCTGTCCCAGTCGTGGTGAGTTACTGAAACCACAATCCATAAATGCTGTCGAGTACCAACAATGTCTTGTTTTCTTACTCTTGCTGTTAATTCTTTGTTTGGACAGAGACCGCTGTAATTGGTGGAAATTCTGAGGGAGAGTCCTGCCACTTCCCCTTTGTGTTCCTGGGTAAAGAGTATGATTCCTGCACTAGTGAGGGACGAGGAGACGGCAAGTTGTGGTGCGGTACCACTGACAGCTATGATGACGACAAGAAATGGGGTTTCTGTCCTGACCAAGGTGAGTCACATGAATATAAGACAAACAAAGTAGATTAGATAAAATTGCCTTTTGCTAATATTCCTTACTGTATGTCCTCCAGGTTACAGTCTGTTCCTGGTGGCAGCCCATGAGTTTGGTCATGCCCTCGGCCTGGAACACTCCAACATCAGAGAGGCTCTCATGTACCCCATGTACAGCTTCGTGGAAGACTTCTCCCTACATGAGGATGACATTGAAGGCATTCAATATCTCTATGGTAAGGTCATTATGAACTGCGTTATCATGCAAAATCACATGAAGTTTGCAATTTCTCACATTCAGCACCATTTCATTTTTTCAGGACGCAAAGATGGCCCTGATCCCACTCCACCTCAACCCAACACCCCCTCCACTACCGCCTACCCAGACCCTGATGACACTGATAAACCCACTGACCCCACCACCACCACTACCGCTACACCTGTGGATCCAACCAAAGATGCCTGCAAGATGAATAAATTCGACACCATCACTGTGATTAATGGAGAGCTACACTTCTTCAATGACGGGTAAGCTAACCAGTCTCTTCTTCTATGCAAAAGAATAAAAACAGGAAGTGTCAGTGTTGATGTTTTCTTATTGCATGTGTTGATCAACAGACTATACTGGAGGATGTCCAGCGGGAGAGATGGAGGGCTCAAGGGACCATTTTCTATTTCCGAGACATGGCCAGCTCTGCCAGCAGTCATCGACTCTGCGTTTGAAAACACTTTGGCCAGGAAACTGTACTTCTTCTCAGGTGAAGCTTCATGCTGTTGATAAGGGACCTCAATTACAAAGGACAAAAGTGCAAGACAATTTTTTCTTATTATCATCTTCTTTCTATAGGGACACGATTCTGGGTGTACACAGGGAAGAGTGTTCTGGGTCCCCGCAGCATTGAGAAGCTTGGCCTCCCGAACACTGTTCAGAAGGTGGAGGGAGCACTGCAGAGGGGCAAAGGCAAAGTGCTGCTCTTCAGTGGGGAGAACTACTGGAGGTGAGTTTAAAGTGTGCCTGACATCAGGATGGGAAGCATGTCTGTCACTTTTGGCTCAAATGAAACCATCTGCTAGTTTTGACAATTATAAGTGTTGGAGTAAAGTAAAAGGCCAGAACACGCTTTTTTAATAACATAACAAAAGTCTGAGTTAAACCAGCTGATTGTTTTTGACTTGTTTAATGACATTCTCTGCTATGATCAACACAGGCTTGATGTGAAAGCCCAGAAAATCGACAAAGGGTACCCCAGATACACAGATGCCGTCTTTGGTGGCGTCCCCAATGATGCTCATGATGTGTTCCAGTACAACGGTAAGTTCAAATAGTAATGACTGAGCTCAACAAAAAACATTATCATATAACAGTCGATTGTTGAATGTTAAAAATCCTCATGTTGTGTTCTAGTCATTCAAATCCCAATATATCTGCTACAGGACACATGTACTTTTGCCGGGACCGCTTCTACTGGCGTATGAACTCCCGCAGGCAGGTGGATCGCGTTGGCTACGTGAAATATGACCTTCTCCAGTGCACAGATGCTTCACGCACTCGCTACTGAAGAGATGAAGGAAACAGGGATAAGCTGGAAATCGTCTTTATTGTGGTAGCACCTATACTTCTCTTGCCTGTGCAGGTGTCAGGGAGAATGTGATGCAGTATAGCGTCTGTTGTATGATGTGTGTACTTTCGGGTATGTAAATAATTGGCCACCATTGACCTTGGCTAATTCTAAAACATACAGCAATGGCCCAAAAAAGAGAAAAAAATTGTTTTTTTGGCACTGCCTTATTATCTTACTCAGATAATCTGTGAACTGGTTGGTTGACCCATAACAACTAAATTAATGTTGAAGGTTATCTGGATTCCAGATTTACTTAATAATTTCTTTATGTCTGACAGGTTCAGACCATAAACAGTATTAGAATATTTTTGGTATTTATAGCAATATCTAATATTATGTTTGTGTCCTAACACTTGTTTGTTTTGTATAAATATATGTGAGTATTTTTGAAAATGGCTTCAAAGCCAATTACTTGCACTGGAAGACAATGTATGTCTCCTTCACTGAAATTATTTATGAGACTGATATGTTTTGTACTTTCAAAGCAATAAATATTCTGTGAGAATAACACACTTGTCTGTCTTAATCATTCACCAAACCATGATTTACTGACAATGCTTTCTCATGCTCGGACACTATATTATTCCACAATTGGAGTCCACAGTCCCACAACAGCAAAAACACAAAACGTGTTGAGCCACGACCTGATATGTAATTGTATTACTTTATGCTGTATTAATTATCTGCAGCAGTCTTCTGATAGGTGTTTTTGTAGAAATCAACTCTAACAACCTGTGACATTAAGAAACACATTTAGGCATCATAAAGAAATTAGGATAATGACTCCACTCTCAATAGGATTATTCATTCAACATGTTAGCAGGCCATATGGTAGTACTATAAAGTTTAACAAATAAAATAACATAAAAGGTAGGGAATTTATTGAAAAATATATCCTGTAGCATATTAACAATTTCAGCACATTTCTTATTGTTTATACATTGGATATACTCATACTAGTTTGAGTATATCCAATGTATAAACAATAAGATATGTGCTGAAATTGTTAATATGCTACAGGATATTTTTTTGTTATGGACCTCGATAACCTAATGCATGAGGAATCTCCAGAGTAAAAGGAATAAAATGACAGTCAGCAGAACTGTTTGTTTTCATTTTTGTAATGGTACAGCCAGAGGGAATATTAAACATCTTAGGTCCATCAGTTTGTAGCTTAACAGCGGCCCTACGTGTTTGCATATTACTCCGCATCCATATGCGCAATTGTCCTTCCTCAAAAAACAATAGTCCACTCAGGGAATATAAACATCACATCTACCAAATATTTCAGACATAAAATAATCAATCAATCAATACACTTGTTTTTTAAAACAGACAAATAAATTAACCTTTCCTCAAACAACAAGATCATTTTCAACAAAAATAATAAATAAGATCCGGTTGCACGGACAGGAAGCTAGGAGAGTCTCATGGCGCCCGACTAGAATGAAGCAACAATTATCGGTTACTATTTTCTGTCCTAGTAAGCGCATCTACACTAAAGGATACCCTTCTACTCGAACATAAACGGTAAGGATAAAGCGTGATTATTCTGGAGCCGGAGGAGGAAAATATGTTCATTTTCTTCAGGGAGAGTATTAGGGCGGTCTGCTGCGGCTGAGGCCCTCGAGGTCCCCAGTACAGCCTTCAGATGCCTGAGTGTAAAACGGGGCTGCCTGCTGGAAAATGGCGACACGGAGCAGGCAGGGTGAAGGGCAGCTGGGCCCGATTAAAATGGCTAACACACGCTCTTTAAGACGCTGTTACACTCATTTAGGGTGACACCGGTTCCGCCGACTTGTTTAGACCTGTGACATAATCTGCAATCAACAGCGTTATTATATTAAAACACTCGCACTCTCATTGGGTGACAATGATATCTGTTTTACAGCTTCATCGAGCAAGAAAACGAGCTGACAACGATGCTAAAGGCTAATGCTAGCTGCTCTTGTTAATCATGAGCTAACAAACGTTCAGTCCTGTTGGCGTTAGGTTTCTAAATAACTTGTCAGCTGATGTCACCGAACAAGTCACAACAGACCAGACCACATTTGAACTGTACAAACTCAAAATAGAGACCTTTAATCACTCCACAGAGAGTGAAAAGACTTGATACAGCCATAATGTTGACAGACGTTTAAGCATTAGCCTAGGTGAATGCTAACGTTCCTTGTTTTCCTAACAGTTTGTTACACTATTCACAAAGTAATAAAACAACTCAATAAGCCTTATTTTAGCACCCTAACACATGTGTTAGCCTAACACTTTCTATACATTTCGCATTGTATCCCACCATCATCACTAAACCATTAGATGTAGTGAAAATATAGTTTGAGAAAAATTACAAGTGTCAGTACACTTATGTTCAAGTGTTCTTAATACAAAAATGTTTGTTATGTACACCCCCTGGATAGAAAACATGCCCAGTTAGCTATTTTAAACTGTTTCCCTCTGCATTCCGTTTAGTACAAAGTCATTTAAATTCCTACAAACCCATCATTGGTTTCACATTCAATATAAAAGTCTTCATAAGGATACACTAAATGTAAACCCTACATTCAAAGTGACTGCAAAACCATACCTCAAAAACTGGTTCACTTGAAGTTGTTTGCCTATCTGAAAGACTCAATGACAGCTATAAGAAACATACAAAATACCTTGAGAAAGACACGTTTGTGTTTTTCTTTAGTTACCAGTTTAGAGAGTGAAATAAAAAAAAGTTCTCCGTCTAAAATAAAAATGTCTTCCATAAGAGCTTAAGATTAAAGATTAATCATGAAACAAATCAGGAGTTATGTCATAATTTATTAACACAGTGAAGTAGCAACAAACCCCAAGGCATTAAAGGCTACATAAACTTAAAAGTTGATATTGAGTTTATGTTTTATTTTTGAAGTCATGGATTCAGAGGAGAATGAGGTGGAGAGCAGCAGCGATGCGGGTCCTTCGGGGATGGAGGAACCGTCTGAAAGCGGCATGGGAGTGGAGTCATCAGAGGCCATGTCTGCAGACAGCAGTGATGCTGCTGCTGCCTCTCATGCACAGGCCCCTGAGTCCGACTGCCATGTTGGACAGAGCTCAGAGGGACTTATGGTAAGCTTTTTAATTAAAATATGATTATGTGTGGGAGAAACCCACAGTCCAACAAAACCAGATACCAGTTAGGCTTTGTGTTATAAATGTCTTTACATTGGTATCACGTTTTTTCCCTCCTTGTCAAGGTGTTCGCCCCAGAAACCAGCTCCAGTACAGACGCCAGAGTTTCATCAGTCCATCTCCCAGACTCCTCCTCAGTGGCTCAGTCCACCAGCGTGTCCAGCGTCTCCACAGTGACTCAGTCGGTGATGGTGTCTGATTCAGCCCAAGTGCTGGTCCACTCCAGTGCTACATCTGAAGGATCCATGATGGTTTCTGACTCCACTGCTTCTACCTCGTCAGATCTCGGGTCTGCCATTGACAAGATCATAGAGTCCACCATCGGCCCTGACATCATGAATGGTATTTCCTCTGACACTCTGCTTTCTGATTTACCATTGCCTGAGCAGCTTTAAGGTTTAAGTATAATAATGTTGCAGATATCTGATGCTGTTTTCTGTTCTTCTGTCAGGTTGCATAGCTGTGACCAGTGCAGAAGATGGAGGTGCAGAAACAACCCGATATTTGATATTACAAGGACCAGATGACGGTATGTGTGATGTTGTTACTGCTTACTCATCAGCCCATTAAAAACTATTTTAAAGTTCATGAAACAATTAGCACCATCTTTACATATAAACATATCCTGAATACTCTGATGGGATGTTTTTCAGTCATCATCAACCTTTTGAGCAGATTGCAGATTTTTATCTTTCTATACCACCTTTTTATTAACCAACAATGATATAATGAGCATATATCACGGCCTGAAGTGAGCTATTGCTTTTATAAAACGGTTACCAAGTGTGGCAATATGAAAGAAAAATACACACTCTAATTTAAATAGTTTTTATTAGTAAATAATGATGTTCAAAATAAAATAGTCCCTCCGTTGCCTTCTGCACAAAACATAGTGCAAGGTGGTTGCTATGCAACAACACTAACAGCAAGCGAACATATTAGACAGAGAGCGTTGATCCATTATTTGGCTGTTTATTTACATTAATGTGTATGTTGCTGTTTATTGTGCATCCACTGAAAAACTGTCCAGCATCAGTAGCATGGCTTACGTGGTCACTTGTATAGGTTGAGGTTGTTCGAGNACCAATATTCCAATTACTTAAGCAATAGCTCACGACAGGCCGAGGTATATGGTTATTATATCACAGCTAAGGGGCGTGGTTCAACCCCCTTAGCTATTGCTTTTATTGCTTTTATAAAACACTCTAATTTAAATAGTTTTTATTAGTAAATAATGATGTTCAAAATAAAATACTCCCTCCGTTGCCTTCTGCACAAAACATAGTGCAAGGTGGTTGCTATGCAACAACACTAACAGCAAGCGAACATATTAGACAGAGAGCGTTGATCCATTATTTGGCTGTTTATTTACATTAATGTGTATGTTGCTGTTTATTGTGAATCCACTGAAAAACTGTCCAGCATCAGTAGCATGGCTTACGTGGTCACTTGTATAGGTTGAGGTTGTTCGAGGCTGTTGCTTGGCGTGGCGAGAATATTGCTCCACTTTCTCCGGTCCCCGAGATTGGGCTTCCAGTAGCTCTGGAGAGAGCTTTCGCACCTGTGGCCACTAACGGTCATAATTTCTCTGCTTTGTTTCAAGACCCGCATCAGAAAGCTTTTGAATGGTGCTACTTTTCCAGTTGGTCTACCTGCTCTTCACGTAGCTCTGCATGTCGTAGTTTAGGTGCTTTTTTTTCTGGAGATAGGCACTGCTCAATCCACTCCTCCATACTATAGTAAGACCCCCCCGGAGGTCGAAGTTAATCTTAAATGTTTCTATTTTATGCTTTGTAAGTTTGTTTCGTAACGGAAGAAATTTAAATATATTTATAAAACTGACAAGTCAAATCAAGCAATCTGATTGGTCGATAGCGTTTTTGCGGACCTCTTTGATTACAGATTTGAAAACATCGTTGCTTGCTTTAAAAGTAGCATAATTCATTATGTTAAACCTTCAAAAGTATCTAGATATCCCTGCCCTAATGCCAAAGGAACTGCACACTGAATATGTTTTGCCGTTTGATGTCTATGTCTGGACCGCTGCGTCAAAAAGGAGGGCTTCTGCCCCGTTACTGCCCCGTTACTTCTCCGCTGCTTTCTTGTTCCAGTTTGAAAAGCAAACTGCAGGCAGTTTGCTTTTCAGCCCAACGGTATACTGTTTTTCTCAGACGCGGAGGGATACTGACTTGTTGTGAAAAGTAACTTACAATTCTACCCGTGGTATACGCTCAGTATATCACGGCTAAGAACCAATCAGATTGCTTGATTTGAGTTGTCCGTTTTATAATTATTTTTAAATCCCCTTAAAGGAATACTTCATACTCAAAATGTTTTTCCTCAACATCGAACATCAACAATTTCTCTAAATGTTGCTTAAAGGTGCTGTTTAAAAAACCTGTTTATGTTGGCAAATATCTCCTGCAAGGCAAGAGCATTTAAGTATTGGGTAAAAACATATATATATATATATATATATATTTGTTATGATTTGTGTCCTCAAGGTAGTGTAATATGTTGCTGCAAACTTCCCTCCCTTTTGTATTCATCCCATTTCAAGCCTTTACGTGTCTCGCACATTGAAACATGTATCAGGTGACCCGTGAAGTCCCTTAAAGGTCCCATGACATGGCCATTTCTACATTACATTTAGCTGACGCTTTTATCCAAAGCGACTTACAATTACCGATTACAGGGACATTCTCCCTGGAGAAACTAGAATATATTTACATGGTTCAATGTTCCAAAATCACATTGGTTTGTCATACAGCATCTCTGTATAGTATGTGTATTCACTCTCTGTCCTAAACGGCTTGTTGGAGCTCCTGCTGCAGGGTCATTGAGATCGAACACAATGACACACGATATGAGTATCCTTTTTTAAAGTGTTTACAATCCATGCATATGTTCGCAATAGGAGCTCCTATGGTAGCCCAAATGTCATCTTCGTTCCTCTCTGATCGTATAGCCATAGAAGCTCTTGCTGAAGGACCCACCTCCACCTGTCTGGACCAGGGAGACCTGCGGCGCCACCATGACCCTGATCAGCCGGGCCCCTCGGGTTACCCAGAGGACAGCAGCAGTCAGCCCGACCAGCCCCAGCACTCCCACCCTTCCCAGTACATGGACTGCAGTGCAGACGGTCCAGACCAGACGGGGGAGTCTTCATCTTCCTATGTGGAGTGTTCAGGCGAGGAGCCCGACCAGACCCGTTCCCAGTCTGGTTTCCCTGACTACAGCGGGGATAACAGTGACCAGGATCTGCCTGGATATGTGGAGTGCAGTGGGGCGGACTCAAACCCAACAAGCCGGGGTCACTATGTTGTAGACTGCAGTGCTGGGTACATGGAGTGTTCGGTGGACGATGGGGCGCGACCGCATCATTCACGCAGTTACATTGACAGTAGTGCAGACCACCGGACTCAGACATTAAGACAATATGTGGCCCAGTATGTAGGGGAGTGTGTCGCAGCTGCAGACTCTGAGCAACCGGGATGCTCTCAGTATCAAGCAAGGGACGATGATGAAGATGATGAGAATAACCAGGATCCAGACCAGCCGCAGCACTCTCAACAGCAGCCCCAGCACTCCTGTTACATGGCAAGCAGCAACGGCCCAGAGGCCTCCATCTATGAGGATGACAGCTCCTCTTCGGACCACCCTCTGGCAGACACGGCAGGCTCAGTGGGGCTTCCTGAGTCATTGGAGTGCAGCGAGAGCCAGTCTGGGATGTACATCAGCAGCAGTGGGACTTACACCTCTAATACAGAGCCTGAGTCAGCCCAACAGTGCTCACCTAGCCAAGAGGAGCCCCAAGGCTCCCAGGGGCCTCAGGAGGAAGCAGGGCCGGCCAGGGAGATGGAGACATCTACAGTGCCAGAAGTCTCAGGACACAGAGCACCTAACCTGGCTGAGTTGGAGGAGATGATGGAAGTAGTGATTGTTCAGCAGTTCAAGTGTAAGATGTGTCCGTACAAGAGTGTCTCCAAAGACACACTCATCAACCACATGAGAGACAAACACTTCAAACCTGTAGGTAAGGAAGTGTTGTTCAATATTTATCTCAATGACATATCACTTTTGATTGTTTAAGTTTTCTTTGTTCCCAGATAATAATAATAATAATAATAATAATAATACAAATGTTTTTTATAATGTGTGTTTTCCAGGGGAAATGCCAAAAAAGCGTAAACGTGGGAGGCCTCCTAAAAGTGAGACATTTGCCCGTCGTCAGGCAGAGAGGGTGGAAGCTGAAGAGAGGAAGGCAGCAAAAGCTGAGGCTGCTCAGCCCAAACAAGCAGAAGAAGAGGAGGATGATATTGTGGATTCTGGCGCTATTGATGATGCTGAAGGTCAGTGAGAAGGAGTATCATTTAACCCCCAAAGCAGAAAAACATGCAGACTTTTCAGACTTAGAATCAGTCAAAAGGATAACATTTAAATGTGCATATCCCTCTCTCTTCTTTTTGTCAGAGGATAGTGATTACACCCCTGCAGACGAGGACAGCAAAGGAAGACCACCTGCCGTTTTGAAGAAGTCCACTCCTCCAATCTCTTCCTCCTCTCATGGTCGTCCTCGGCGTAAAGTTGGCCGTCCAAGGAAGTACAGCCTTATAGAAGAAGGCTACAGCAACAAAGGTTTGTCTTCATGTTTACAAAGTAAAGCAAGAAACAGCCTCTAATGCCCCTTTCACACCAACGCGGTTCCAGGGCTGGTTCGGAGCTGGAGCTTGAAAAGCACCGGTTTTCCTGTTCACACAGCAGAGGAGCCGCCTCTAAGCTCCTGAATCCGGTTAGTTTCAAGCACCAAAAAGTTGTCGGTCTAGAAAGACAAATAACACGCGACATCCGCCTTTCCGCCAGCTTCAACATGATCTGTGGAAATAACATTGAGAATCAGTTTTAATGTTATACCATCCATCCATCTTCTCCCGCTTATCCGTGGTCGGGTCGCGGAGGTAGCAGTTCCAGCAGAGAGCCCCAAACTTTCTTTTCCCTGGCCACATCAACCAGCTCTGACTGGGGGATCCCAAGGCGCTCCCAGGCCAGCGAAGAGATATAATCCCTCCATCTGGTTCTAGGTCTACCCCTTGGTCTCTTCCCAGCTGGACGTGCCTGGAACACCTCCCTAGGGAGGCGCCCAGGTGGCATCCTAACTAGGTGCCCGAACCACCTCAACTGGCTCCTTTCGACGCGAAGGAGGAGCGGTTAGGATGCCACCTGGGCGCCTCCCTAGGGAGGTGTTCCAGGCACGTCCNCTTTCTTGTGTGCACGAGAACGTATCTCTTGCGCAATAGAAAGTATATCGTGATGAGCAAAACCATGTCACTTGGCCCAGGTGGTTTCCACAGAACGGACAAAACAAGTTTAACAACCATAAAGGTCCATAGGTACTGGCGGTATATCCCCCAAAGCAAACTTAAAGTGGACCTATCATGCTATATTTGAATAATATAGTGTAGGACCATACCTATATAAGGCATATTTATACTTTTTATTTTTCAAAATACCAAACAGATCATGCATTTTAGCCATTCCTCATTTTGCTCACTGTCTTTGCATGGGCTGATTCTGTGAGAACAGCACCATCTACAAGCCTGGCATATGTACTACAGCGTCTCCAGCGCTTTCAAACGGCAATGTCCGCGGCTGTCTCCTCCTGATTGGTGGAGTTGGCCCAATAGCCGTAGCGACACTTCTGTGACGTCATAGAAGTGTTCAAATCTGTATCAGTCTGTATCAGATCCGTTGCAGCCCCTTTTTAAGAGATTTGGGTATGGAGGAAAATAGAGAGGGTTGTGTTTTCGGACACTTGGTGAGTTCCCTGGAACACCGGGGACACATATTCATGTCTAAAAGACGTACAAAAGTGCATTTTGCATGATAGGTCGCCTTTAAGTTTGTGTCAATCACTTGCACGTCACTTCTGGTATTATGGGCATTCCCTTTCTGGTTTGATTCTCTAGTTTGTTTAAGTGTTTCGGGAAATGTTAAAGTGTTTCGACACTTGAAAATGTGTCTCTAGCTTTGTAAAAGTGTTTCGCATCTTGTTAATTTGTTTTTGTTGATGTTAAATAGTTTTTTCTTTGGTAAAAGTGTTTTGCTAATGTAATTTTGTTTTATAAAATGTAAATGTGTTTTATAAAATTTAAATGTGTTTTATAAAATGTAAATTTGTTTTATAAAATTTAAATGTGTTTTATAAAATGTAAATTTGTCTCAAGCTTTTTTAAAGTGTTTCACACTTTGTAATTGTCGATTGCACCTCTCAGCCACTGTAATTTTGTGCTTAATATCAAGTCCAGTGCATGATAATGTCAATTTGTCGTGTGCTTTGTGTCCCTCTAGCTTTCCTACTATGGTGTGATCTCCATCGGCACCCCTCCCCAGTCCTTCAGTGTCATCTTTGACACCGGCTCCTCCAACCTGTGGATCCCTTCAGTGTACTGCTCCAGCCAGGCCTGCCGTAAGTGTGACTGTCTGGGACCAGCACTGCAGCACAGGCTGTTAAGAGCTGGATCATATGCTTCAAGCTTTTGGATAGTGTTTCACATAGTGGTGGAAAGTAACTATATTTACTCAAGTAGTGTATGTAAGAACAATTTTAAGGTTCTTTTACTTCTGCAACATACAAAATAATGCAACCTTAATAGTAACTCGGTAGTATAATTATATTTCACTGTCAGGAGCCATTGTGCAACATCAGTTCTATCTTTGAAACTAAAGTACATTTCACTCTAAATAAGTCTGTGCTTTTCATAGGTAACATTTTTATTTTAAGAATTCAACTTGTAATGCAATATTTTAAGTTTTTTTTTTTTACTTACTAGAGATTTACCTCAAATTTGACCAAGACCTCATTCCTCTGCAGAGAACCACCGTAAATTCAACCCACAGCAGTCCAGTACTTTCAAATGGGGAAGCCAGCCTCTGTCCATCCAGTACGGCACCGGCAGCATGACTGGATATCTGGCCAGTGACACTGTTGAGGTAACCAACTGCCTTGGAACAAAATGCAAAGTCTATTTAGACTTCCAACAGGCATGACTCTGTGGTCTGTTGAACTGGGACTGACAGCTGTCTTGTGTATCCAGGTGGGCGGCATCTCTGTGGTCAACCAGGTGTTCGGAATCAGCCATACAGAGGCTGCCTTCATGGCTAGCATGGTGGCTGATGGCATCCTGGGATTGGCCTTCCAGAGCATTGCTTCTGACAACGTCGTGCCTGTCTTTGACATGATGGTCAAGGGGGGACTTGTGTCTCAACCCCTGTTCTCCGTCTATCTGAGCAGGTATTGAAACAGGGTGGAAATCTGTTAGTTGGCACTTGGCAGTATGTCAGTTCACGTGACATTGAATTCACGTATTGACATTTGTTTGTTATTTCCTCTAATAGCAACAGTGAACAGGGCAGTGAGGTGGTCTTCGGTGGTGTTGACAGCAGCCACTACACTGGACAAATCAACTGGATCCCTCTGTCCTCTGAGACCTACTGGCAGATCAAAATGGACAGGTACAATAGAAACAAAATAATAACCACAAGCATAAGTTGCACAAAGCCTCCTAGTTTGATCGTCTGCTGTTCTTCCTCCACAGTGTTACCATCAATGGACAGATTGTAGCCTGCGCTGGTGGCTGCCAGGCCATCATCGACACTGGTACCTCCCTGATCGTTGGCCCATCCAGTGACATCAGCAACATGAATTCTTGGGTTGGAGCCTCAACCAACCAGTACGGAGAGGTGAGTCATACCATCAGACCGTAACATTTGAAGTACATTTTCCCTATCTTCTGATCCCAGAGTAAACAGACATGTAGTGCTCTGACGTCCAAACGCTCCAATACAAATAATTAGGCAGGACTTGGTTACTTGCTTTAGCTGGAAACCTGGAAAATACCAATAAGTACAACTACACGATACTCAGCGTTATGTGTGACCTTCTTCTTGCAGGCTACAGTGAACTGCCAGAACATCCAGAGCATGCCTGAGGTCACCTTCACCCTCAACGAAAACACCTTCACCATCCCTGCATCTGCCTACGTCTCTCAGGTCAGCTAGAATCACTGCCACAGAAACGTTTTTCAACAATATAATGAGATTATGGGTGATGTAAATACATTTTCTGTTGTCTCTCCACAGAGCTCCTACGGTTGCAGCACTGGCTTTGGCCAGAGTAGCCAACAGCTCTGGATCCTGGGAGATGTCTTCATCAGGCAATACTACGCCATCTTTGACTCTAGCACTCTGAAAATTGGTCTGGCCAAGTCTGTCTAAACACATGATTGATAAGCGTGTATTTCCCTGTAGGGACTTGTCTGATTGAAAACAAAAAAAGGTGCAAATGGATTTACATGATGACAAATACATGATTCAACCACATTGTAGCAGCCTTTGCAATAAATTGATTATTATAGCAACTTAATGCATTCTGTGTATTTTTTGTGTATGCTTAAGTCGGACTGTGATGGTACAAGAAAGATCAAACATCAGTGTAAGAAAAGCATCTTTAGAAACATCCTTAACATCTTCTTAGTTTTGTTTTACAGCACTGCACTGAAATGTCAAAGGAATAAGAATATGTTACGTCTGTTCATCCATTCGCTCTAAGGAGAAACTTGACCTTTATTGAAGATACAAAAAGGATTGCCAGCTTTCTTCTGTAAAGGAAGAAGTGGCCAAGAATAGAGTATTGAGCGACTCTCAGAATAGTTGGGCTGTAATCGGGAAGAAGCTGATAAGGGAAGCATTGATATAACAAAGGATAACCTGATGACATAACCTTACAACTCTGCTGCTATTTCTGTGAACTATTTCGTAAGGACTCAGAGAAAACACATTGAAGCAAACACGATAATATGGTTATTTTTACCAGACAATGTTATTTCTTTAATGCAAAATAATTTTATTTTTATGTCATTCATCTTTTTCACAAACAGCACATGCTACACACTATAGGGTTTAGCGGCATCTAGTGAGCTTAAAGATCAAAATTAAACACCCCTCAGCTCACTCCTCCATTTCCAAGCGTGTTGGAGAGTGGCAGTGGCCTTCAGGTGTAACATCAAATGTGAAAAGCCCTGTCTCAATAGTTTTCGGTTAGTACTTAGGCTACCTAAGACGTTACAGCGGACTCCTAGGACCAGCTCCCTGTGTAGATATGAAAAGGTTATTTCTCAGCTGACAAAAACACAACATCTCTTAGTTTGAGGGGATTATACACAAAGGATAAGATTATCAAGAAAATCATATTCCATATTTGACATTAAATCACCCTAAATACTACACATTGGACCTTTAATATTGCCTGAACATAACTCACAGCTGATTACAGAAAAGTTAAAAACAAAGAAGCAGAAGATGATGTTGATTCTACTAGTTTGTTATGCATCTAAATTCATGTTTTATCCTTTCTGCCTGCCTGATGAGTGTCAATGGAGTTATTTTAAAAAGTAAATTAGTGGAACAAATTAAATCAATCCAATCAAAATCAGAAACTAAACTAAACTTTCACAGGTATTCACTGGTGGATTGCCAGTGTGGAGTACTCCACCATCCAATCAGGCTCTGCGCTCCAGGTTGAGTCAGGGGCTATAACTTGTGTTTTGTGCATCCTCAGGTTTGCATACACCTCGGTTGTCGGTTTCTCATGGGCTATGAAGTCCACTGTTGTGTAGACAATGCCACTGATTTCCTGGGAGGGACACATTTTTGGCAAGAGACAATGGGAAGAAGTTTGAAGCATAAACATTCAATCTACTTTTGAAATCAAGTGACAATGAATCACAGCCTCCACTTGTTTCCTGTTTACACTCACCGGGGCCTCTTGTTTCAGTGACTCACACAGAGTTTCTCCATATTTGTCTACAAAGAAAAGCAAAATGTCATTGAATGCACAGTATATTTTTTCTTTCATACACTCAGATAGTTGTGATCACCAATTTAAGTAAACTGCTTACTCGTCTGTTTACGTTTTGCCTTGACCCTGCACCAAACCACACCAATAACTGAAGTGATCAAAAGCATCACTGTAATGGACACAATGACAGCAAGTGGCAAGCCAAAACTCCAGGGAACCCTGGAGAGGAAAGCAAATACATATCTTATCTTCAGTCAGACAGAACTGTTATGCAACAGAACATGGGTAATATACAGAGAGAATACCTGGGACTGTCACTGCGGTCCTGCGCCACATCCGGCCCGGTGGAGTGGGGGGGGGTCGTGGAGCTGCTGAGGGCTTTGACAGTTGTTGCCAGTAAAGGTCTATCGTGACCTGAAACCTCTGAACAATGCAAGCATATCACATAAGCTTCTAGAGAAGGGGTGTCAAAATTAAGCTAATTCAAATAGTATAATGAAATATGGCCCACAAATTAAACTTGTGCTTGTCATATATTGTACTAATTAAATATATATGTACAAATGTGTGTCCACTTTTCGAATAAATTCAATCAATTAAAGTTGGAAACATTTTCAAACTAATCTTAGTTCATATAAAAAGCCCTATCACTTATTTGCATAACACATCTTTTTATGAGCAATCTGAACCTTGTTTTAAGGCATGAGCTGCAAACTAAATAAATTAAACCCTATGGAGAGCTGTGATGTATGGGCTGTTGTGTTTCTTACAGCATGTTCAAATATCAAGCTTAATTTCCCTACATTTGATTGATTTTGCTAACTTATAACTTAGAATATGAGGCAATATACCTCAACTCTAGTGAGTGGAGTGGCCCAGCCCTTCTTATATTTTCCTGTATGTGGCCCTCGGTGAAAAAAGTTTGGACACCCATGTTCTAGAGTGTTTGCTCAGAATAATATTTTATAACTGCTTCCTTACTTTACTGAGGAACAAAACATCAAACATTATTTTGCAAGTGAACATTTATTTCATGAAGCAGTAATAATTCAGTTTTGGCCAAAGCGTTATTTTACACACTCGTTGTGGCTATGTCATAATTTACTTTTATAACTACAAATGATAAGACTGCTTACCAGACACCTCGACATAGTAATCACTGTAGATGTGGTTTTGAGTTCCTAGCACCATGCATCTGTAAAAGCCTCCGTCCACAAACCGAGCATTAGATATTTTAAATTCTATCCAGCCGTCCTTTTCAGTTGTTGTTACTCTTCCTTTCAGTAAATCACAGGTAAACCCTGCACTGTCCAGTAGCTTGTAACATCCTCCTGGATAGAGTTTACAGCAGGACTTGTTGTAATTATTGTAAAACGAAGGGAAGGTGAGTCTCAGCACAAATTGTTCAAACTCCTCGATCCTCTGCTGCCCTTTTAGATGAGGGATATCTGCAAAACAAAAAGTGTTTATTCATAAAGACACAAGAGAAGAGAAATAATAAACAAATGTATCTGTTTCAAAAAAATCATACCTAATAAAAGAAACAAGACAAAAGAAAACTTCATTTTCAGTGTGACACTCACTGAGGCTCAGCATTTTCTGACAGGTTTTCCCTCTTTAAAGAGGATTTGAGGCCCCTCCTTGCTGAAGAAAGGAGGAAGTTGTCACTTCAACAGTCGGAGGACATAGACAGACGTGTTACTGTGTGTTGAGTTTGAGGACAAACTATGTATTTTACATGCTATAATAAGATTTCAACTTTTTTTACATACTCTGTCTTTTTTTCTAAATAATTCGACATGTTATATTATGACACTTTTTGTGATATTTTCGACATACTTTTAGGTTTTTTCAGGAAATGTCGACATACAATATACTATGATGTTTATTCGACAGTCTATACTATCACTTTTTTCTGATGTTTTCAACATACTATGACTTTTTTTCCGACATACTATTCTGACTTTTTTTCAGAACATTTCGGCATACTATTCTATAATGTTTATTCGACATACTACGACGTTCTTTCTGAACATTTCTACATACTATTCCATAATGTTTATTCGACATACTATACTGCGACTCTTTTTCACATTTGACATTTCAATGTGCAATAATATACACGTTTTCTAAATGTTCAACATGCATCTATAGCATTTTTAATCAACTTGCCTTTGCCTTCATTCATTTTACAAATCATTTAAAAAGATGTCCTACCAAGTGGCACTTGTGTCGCTCCTTGGTGTGGGAGACCCGGGTACGATACCTGCCTTGGCAGTGCGAATGAATGTGGTGAAAAAATGTCCTGTCATTGCATTCTCCCCTGTACTTTTTTGTCGCTTCGATGTTCATTCAATATAACACCACAAAAGACAGTCTCACTATGAATATGGAGTAGCATCAACTCATTTCTGACTGATCTTCAGTACTTGCTTTGCTTTTTTAGTGTGCATTGCATTATGATGTAATATGTTAAAGCTGACCGTGAAAAATCTAATTCATCTGTGTTGAACCTGGGCTTTATGGACATATGAAAGAGTGGACACTAGTATACACAAAGTGATTTATTTGGTGTCAGCTTTCAGCCTATTACACACTTTATATTCACCAAATCGAAACATATCCTCCATCATGGAAAAGAAGAACAATGCAACAGATATGTACATATTTATACTTAGTAAACACAATGTTGAGGCATTCTAACAATTAACATCATTATAACAGATCAAAAATAAACACTCCCTTTTAATTTCAGTCCATTCAAAAACTATAATGTTTATACATGGACGCTCTGGATATTTTCTAAAACATGATACAAGCCGTTTCATTTCTTTTGATGACATTGTCTTGCAAATAGAGGCAGTTGAGGGACGTAAACACAAATGATTTGTATTAATTACAATATAGAACAACCTTGCTAAATCAACTTATAAATGCACAGCCCCTATGATTAGGTTAGAAGCAATGGGTGCAACAATTAGCATTTACAAAAATCTTATTAAACAGTGCAACTGCCCCAAAGCAGAGCATACTGTGGAGGAGATAAGCATGGTTCACAGCCAGCTGAATGCATGAATTCGTTGAGGTTACTATACTTGTCAGTGCATAGTGGTTTGTAGGTTTGAAAAGCCGTCTATTCGTCTGTGAAAGTAATGACATCGTACTGGATGCCTTGCTGCTGGAGCTGCTCCAGCTGTTCGGGTGTAGCTTCAGTGTAGACCGTCTGCGTCATAGCTGCGTCTGCTACAGCTGCAACAACAAACACCGTCCATTTAGTTTCATTTGTTATGAGGGTGCTTGAATAACCATTAGTGTTTTTGTCATAAAGGTGAACACACTGGAACACTACGAAGCATTTTTAAATGACGACTGTTCTCAACTACTTTTGTAGGTTATAAAAAAACTATTTTGACAACAAATAAATGATGAGTTGAATAGAAATGGAAAATAATATCAAGCAAGCTTATTTTCACCTGATAGATTTGAATGTCAACAGCTGAATATACCTTAAAAGTGGAATGCTTTGAAAGAGGCTACATCCAAATTCAGTGGCATGGCCTTTGAATTTGGCAAATACACACGATTCAACAGGCAAATGTAGGATTCAAAGCATGTCAAGTGTTATCTGTTCCCTAAGAGAGCCAACCTGTGACCGCAGAGTGGGTACCGGCCTCCATATCTTCAGGATTCACAATCTGTTCCCCCGAGCTCACGGGTATATACTGGATCTGACCGTCATGACTGACAGCAATCTGAACACAAAAAAAACATGGAGCAATGACTTTAGGTCAAAAACATAAACCTGTCAAAGATGAGAATTTGAAAGGGTCCAATATTATACTGTTTTTCATCAATATATAATAGGTCTCAGATATATACAAAACATGACTCTGAAGTGTTTGGCTCGAAATACCAAACAGATAATGCATTGTAGCATTACCCATAATCCCCTCTGTTTAAAAAGTTCTGATTCTGTGTCTTTTACTTTAGATGAAAATAAGGAGCCACTCCCCATGCCCCTCTGAGAGATGTTTTTTGAATGCTCCAGGAGGAGATTCAGGTGATAAGGGGGAGTGGGGGAGGTTACCTTGGTTGCTGATTGGCTAATGGTTGCACAAGCCAAAAAATTGTTATGACATCATAAAGTGTCCAAACTCTGATCAGCTCATTTTCAGACAGGTTTTTATAAAAACGGATCAGGACAAAAAGAAAGAGAATCATTTTTTCCTGAAACTTTCAGAATCTCTTGACACAGAGGGGACACGTGTTTATGGAAAAGACATGAACAAGTGGATTTTGCATAATAGGTGACCTTTAAGTTACTTGCTCCACTCTCTAACTGTAGTATATATAATATCTGCCTTACCTGTTGCTCCTGCAGAAAGGTTCCGTCGTGCTCATACTGAATGATCTGTCCATCTTGCATCTGAGGAGCAGAAGAACACAACTTTTTTTTTTAAAAACACTTTCAAACACTCCATGTATCCATTAGTTAAGGTGACTTCTTTCAGCGGTATACACTGACCTGTATGTGGTTGCCATCAGATACGACCACATACTCCTGAGGGATTAGGTGCGGCACTCCATCTTGTGAGATGATGTACTGAACCTAAACCAGAAAACAGTTACGATAAAACTACATGATATAGGGCACTGCATGTTAATATTTCAGATTTTCAATAATTGTCATTGAAGAAGCTATACAAGGCTCTTACCTCAGTCACCTGGTTCTCTCCTGTCATCAGGTGCTGCACTGTTTGTCCATCTATGGTGGTTATCTGCTGGATGTATGTCCCCTCCTCCTGAATAATATACATGTTTTAGTTGTATACATATTTTATGCAAATGAAACTATTTGTTAATCATATAACGTTATAAGCAGGGGTGGCGTACGATTACACATGACAATATTGTTGAATTAATCCAGCACTAATGAAGTTATTTCCAACTTCAGTTGTGTTTACAGACTCTCTTGTCTTGAATATCTTTTGATTCAAATATGACATTGTGACAGGCCTATTTTAAAGTATGTCCAGTATAGTGTGGCCGCTGGTACCTGGTCTGATAGCCCCTGTTCCTGCGCTACAATGATGTGATCATGTCCCAAAGCCTGCAACCGCTCTGGAGTGATCACTGTTTGATGAGCCTGTAGGGCTGTTAGACAGACGGAAAAACACACACACACAGCTTAAGTTTGAGATTATTTTACACAAAATGTGGACTTTGTTTACCAGTTGGTAAAATAGCAACCAAAATGATTTATTAATCTCTGATTTATTTGGTTTTCCTTACATTGTAGTGTTGCCAGGGCCTCCTCATCACTGTTCACTATGATAGTTTGCTGAGATGAAGCGGTACGCGCCTTGCGAGCGAGATGATCCTGACTGTGGAGACGCTCCATATGAAACTTCAAATGGCCATTACGGTTAAACCTAGATATTGTGCAAAAAAGACATCATTAGTTGCTGTATTTCAGAAAACTATAACATTATGCATACAGATATGTTGCATAAGAGTTCCTAATGCTAAGCAGATACAAGATTTGTGACAATTTAAATTAGTTAAGCACCGAACCTTTGTCCACAAAGGTTGCAGGAGAACGGTTTCTCATTGGTGTGTGTCATCATGTGTCGGCGCAGGTCTTTCTTGTTCTTGGAGGCAAAACTACAGCTTGGACACTTGTGAGGGCGTAGGTAGGAATGAAGCTCCATGTGAGTCTAAAAAATAGGATGTTAACCGCATTCAGAAAGAGTCAAGGTTGGAAAGGAAGTTCAAGACGGAAATGCTTTATAAAAAATGCCTTCAGATACATAAAAAAATGCCATGTTGTTTTTCATGTTGACATTTTATTTGTTGAGCTATTAAATATTTATAGTGTCATAACTGCACCGTTTGAACAACCTTGGTTTTTATTTATGGCATGACTTTATTTAGTGATTTTTGCCTGTTCATTTTCAATTAAAATAACTGCGTTTTTGATGAGATAAGTTGAGTACAGAGTTGTAGACGCACCTTGACCTCGAGCCAGGAGGTGGAGTTATAATCACAGTCAGGACACTTGAAGGTGTTGGGGTCTATGTGCGCCCTCTTGTGGTTCTCCATGTCAGAGCGTCCGTGGAACGACTCCATGCATATTCGGCAGGAAAACCTCTTTGTGCTCAAACCGGGAGAGCCCATGGCAGACGGAGAGACTGGAGCTTCGCTGCTCAGCTGTCAGAAGAAAATCCACAGTCACAGAGGAGTGATACACGGTGTTATACTGATATGCACGTGCAAGAAAACAATTGATCTGTTGCATTTACCTCCACCTGTTGCAGAACACCATCAGGTAGTGCAGATGTAAGGTAGTACTTTTCACCCTTCATGCTCTCTGATCCGGAGACTTCAGCCTGACAAGGACTGCCCTCCTCGTTACTGAAAACATAACATTTTAAAGGTGTTATCAAGTGTTGAGAGATCACAAGGGTCATCAATAAGATACATTAAGATCAAATAAAGCGTGTGTATGAGGCTCACTGGCATGTAATGTAGGGGATTACTTTAGTCGTTGTTATTGTTTGTTTGTGTTTTTTCAACAACAACAAAATCTCTTTGTACATACAATCAGTACAAACCACTGTCTAATTTATATGGATATATTTTGCTTTCCATTTCTAATTGACAAACACTGGTTATGCATTGTCGAAGCGCAATAAAAAGATTTTGAAGGTAGTTGTGTGACTGTGTCTTCCAGGCTCCCCATATAGGTCCTAACTAATGATAGGAAATCATGCAGTGAGTTCTGTTACCTGTATCCAGGGCTGTGGATCTCTTCGGCCGCCTGTTCCACCACACTGAAATCCCCCCCGCTCTCGTAGGCTTCGATGGCGATCTGGGCGAGCTCTCCTGTCTCAGAGGTGGCCGTCTCGTAGGCCTCTTGCAGCACCGTCTCACCGTTCTCCGAAACGTGGAAGGTCACAACCTTTTGTGCCTGTCCCGGAGCTGAGGTCACTGCACTCCACGTGCCCTTTTCCAAAGGTTTGCCTTCTGACTTCAGCACTGCCACCTGAGGAGCATAACCAGTCAAGAAAACTTTCCACATAAATATTGCCTGCTTATGTAAAGTGAATTCTTTATGAGTTATAGAACCAACCTGTAAGGCGTTGCTCACCAGTTCCCGGGCATTGCTCATATTCAGCAGCAGGTCAAGGGCATTCTGGGCGGATTGATCACTGGATTCAGCTGAAGAGCACATAGAGAAAGGGTCAGCATTTGTCCTCAAGGTGGTTACATTGCCCAGAAAAACTCAAAGAATCCTCTTGAATGACAAGAGGCCTGACCTTGTTCATAGATGATGGTGGTGTTGCCCATAGCGTCCTGGGACACAGAGGCATTTTCCAAACCCTGCATGGCTTGTAGTGTGGCAGAATCCACAGCAACCTTTAAACAGGGATTACAAAAACTGTTATCATCTCCAAATGCCATTAACTATAACTATAATAACACATGCTAAAAATGTATATATCCAAATTGCATCTCAAACAGACTCACAATAGTGTTCTGCAAATCCTGTGTGTCGCCGTGCTGTTGTAGTTTGAGCTCCTCTATCTGCTGCAGGGTGAAGAAGGGTCTGCGTCGCCTCCTGACCGGCTCCTCAGGGTGGGCCACAGACCAATCGTCAAACGTCTCAGGGTGGCGACACTGCACATGTAGACGCAAGTTCTTCCTGTGCTTTGTCATGAAGTGGCACAGATGACAGGAGAAAGGCTTCTCTCCTGTAGATGACACAAATAAATAACACAGTGTTAAGAAGAAAATCATCAGCCCACCTCATTATTTATTATTATATCATTATTAGACCACCAAAATAAAAATAAATAGAAAAACCATTTGTGGCGGACGATATTTAATTGTGGCGGCCCGCCACAAATAAATAATAATAAGTATTATTGCATATAATAGGTAAACATACATTTTTTTTAAGCTTAAAAAGTCCCCTATTATATGGTTTTTCATCAATATATTATAGGTCTCAGATATATACAAAACATGTCCCTGAAGTGTTTTGCTCCCAACACCAAACAGATCATTGTAGCATCCCATAATCCCCTCTGTTTCAGCCCTGTTTCAAAAGTGCTGATTCTCTGTCTGTTACTTTAGATGGAAATAAGGGGCCACTCCCAACGCCCCTCTGAGAGATATTTTTTTGAGTGCTCTAGGAGGAGATTCAGGTGATAAGGTGGGCGGGTGTTACCTTGGTTGGTTATTGGCCGAAAAATCGTTATGAAATCATAAAGTGGCCAAAATCTGATCCGCTTATTTTCAGACAGGTTTTTATATAAATGGATCAGGACGAAAAGAGAGAGAATCTTTTTTCCTGAAACTTTCAGAATCTCTTTACGCAGAGGGGACACATGTTTATGTATAAAATATATGAAATAGTGGATTTTGCATAATAGGTGACCTTTAAATAAATATTCTGTCACACTGACCTGTGTGTTTGATGGCTAGATGGGAGACCAGGAACTCCTCTTTAGAAGTGGAGTATTTACAGTAGTCGCACTTAAAGGGCCGGTCGTTGGTGTGGGACAGCTGATGGTTGAGCAGCAGCTTCTTGTTGTCACAGGTGTAATCGCAATATTCACACTTGAACCTGGCATACGCACATCGATAAAAAGGTAATTGTGATATCATCCTTTCTATAATCAAACAACAAATGAATCATGTTGACTCGTTAAGGCGTATTCAATTTGAACAGATTGAAACATGACATAACAAAAGAGATGGAGAAAATACTGACTTGCTGTCTCCTAGACTCTGGATGTGGGTCAGTAGGTGCATTTTGAATGTGTAGCGTTTCTTGAAGGATTTCCCACACTGGAAAGACAGAACAGCATCTTTAACAGGAGATTTGGAGTAGATAAATAAAGTCCATCAAATTGTTAGTGCATTCACCTTACTGCGAAGATTAACAAAGTTATGCACAAAACAATTCTCCTATTGAACAGGTAACTCATGTAATCAGAGAAGGATGTGCAGTAAAACAAGCTTCTTACAGATCCAAATCATTATTAATTGACCATTTAAAGAATAATATGATCTTAAATCCTGAATTGTTGCAGTGTCCAGCCATTTGTACAGCAGAATGTAAGTGCAAAACTGCACAATAGAGAATGAATGGAAAACCATGATAAGTGTTGTCATTTAGAACAGGTGATAACATCTCTCCTGTAGCTGTCTCTTCTTAATCCGAGTTAAACATCTCTTAGAGCTGCTTGGCAACCAATTAAATATTCCTTGCCATTCATTTATTTTCATTTATTTTCAAGAAACGTTCTCAAGTGTTCTTAAATCTATATATCTTACCTTATCACACATGTGTGGTTTCTCTGAGCTGTGGGTCTTCATGTGCTGGGTCAGTCTCTTTTGCATGGGGTAAACCCTGTGACACACAGGGCAGAGGAACTCTGACACTTTTGGTACCTGCAACAACAAGGAAAAAAATAAATCACAATTATTACATGCATGCTCACAACCAATAAACAATTCTTCAAATATAGAAAACCTGAAATGTCTCACCAACTCTGTCTTTTTCTTTCTGTAGGATGAAAACAGAGAAAAGTATTACAATCATTTAAAAATATATTTCAGGGAACTTGTTTTGTTTGTGTGCTGTATATTATCTTAGTTCAGTGCTTCTCAAAGTGTGGTCGCGGACCACTGGTGGTCCGTGACCGCGCCCTAGTGGTCCGTGAGTATATTTGTAACATTTCACATTTGAAATAAATAAATAAATTTAAGTTTTCTGCACTCTCGCGGGAATATCTCCGCAATGGAGCGAGGTTACGTTTCACTTTCGATTGCATGATATAGTCCAGCAATACCTTCATCACACATGTTGCCACTTGTTTGTACAATTTTCTGGCGATTTCTAAACTGTTCTAGAAAGACGATGTGTTTTTTGATATTTGTGGAGTAAGGTGGTCCGCGAGTGTTTTTTTATTGGTTAAGTGGTCCTTGGTATGAAAAAGTTTGAGAAACACTGTCTTAGTTACTTACTTGTCTTTGTTGTGGACTGTTGAGTGGCGAGTGACATCTTTCTTGTAGACACTTGAGTAATCACACTCGTCGCACTTGAACGGCTTGATGCCCTCATGATTGAACATATGTTCCTGCAAAACAGCCCACAACAATTATAAGGAAACGTTCAAACCTGCACGAAAACTGAGGTTTACCAGAATGTTGTGTCATTGCAACTGACCTTAAGTGAAGACCAGCGCTTGCACCGATAGTTGCACTGCAGGCACTTGAAGAGCTCCGGGTCATTGCCTTCATGAGAGTCCACGTGGAAGCGCAAATCCTCTTGAGTGAGGAAGCGTGAGCCACAAATCCAGCAATTATGAGGTCTGAGGAGCGGTTTCAAGGATTTATAGTACCGGCTGGAAGATAATGAAGGAAAGAAACAATGAGCTTGTTGTCATATTATGTATTACGATGTGCAACACAGCTTTATTTAAAAGTTTGATACTTACTTTCGGTTTATATACTTCTTATACTTCTTGCGAAGAAAACGCTTGGAGGGTCGACCACGTTTCCTCTGAAACAATTCTTCTGACTGTGTGTTGGATGAAGGGTCTTTGTTCTCAGAGTCTGATTGGCTAATTGCTGCCTCAGCTGTGTCTCCATCGGTCACCATAGCATGACTGTTGTTGAGTCCGGACGAACTTGCCTCTTCAGATGCACTACCATCCACACTCACCCTCGGCTTCTTAGCAATACTTTCTGCTTCTGTAACAACCAATAAAAAAGAGGAATGAAGAATGTGTATACCCCTTTCACACCAAGGCTTTTCCCGTTCTAGCTCCATGCTAGAGCTTTTCTGGTTCGGAACCGGTTCTTCGGTTCAGCTCCCACTCTGTTCACAACGCTCAGAGTCCGACTGGTGCTGCGTCATTGCGTCATCGTTTGCGTCATGACGTAACCGTTTGCGTGCCTGCTTCATAAAGCCAAACCGCGCGGAACCCCCTCACATCGACAACAACAACAATGGCCGATTGTATCGAAGCGCTACTCATTTTGCTCTGTCGAAACGAAATGGAAGAAATGGGACGACTTTACTATCAACTTTACAGTCGTTACATGCTACATTCAAAAAAGTTCTTTACAATCATCATCAACTTCAACGACGATTCCGTAGGAGAAAGAAGGTAAATATACGTCCTATTCGATGGCGTTAGAGCTAGCTGTTGTTAGCCTCTGCATGCGCCAAGCTCAAAATACCCAGCTTTGCAGCATTTATTACTAGTATTGGGGATACTCACAAGTCCCCGGTTGGGTGCTTCGTTGTTGGAGTCTACCCCAGTGGACGAGAGGGTTGCCTCCCTACGCCTTCGGGTTATGGGGGGGAAAACTCTGACTGTTGTGTGTGCTTATGCACCCAACAGCAGTTCAGAGTATACGGCCTTCTTGGAGACCCTGGAAAGAGTCCTGTATGGGGCTCCTGAAGGGGACTCTTTAATCTTGCTGGGAGATTTCAACGGACATGTGGGCAATGATGGAGACACTTGGAGGGGAGTGATTGGGAGGAACGGCCCCCCTGATCTGAACCGGAGTGGTGGTTTGTTACTGGACTTCTGTGCTAGTCATGGATTGGCCATAACAAACACCATGTTCGAACATAAGGATGCTCATAAGTGTACGTGGTACCAGAGCACCCTAGGCAGAAGGTCCATGATCGATTTTGTTATCGTATCATCGGACCTGAGGCCGTATGTTTTGGACACTCGGGTAAAGAGAGGGGCGGAGTTGTCAACTGATCACCATCTGGTGGTGAGTTGGGTCGAGTGGCGAGGGAAGCCTCTGGATAGACCTGGTAAGCCCAAACGTGTAGTTCGGGTGAACTGGGAACGTCTGGAGGAGGCCCAAGTTCAGGAGGCCTTCAACTCACACCTCCGGCGGAGCTTTTCGGGCATTCCTGTGGAGG